AAAAGATGGAATATAAGAGAGAGAAAGGAGATTCTGATCATTGTCAGAGCATTTTAAAATCTTCCAATTATAATCATGTTTATGCACCACTAGTGTGGCTCTTGGCTTCAGTGAAGGAGGTGAGGAGCAGAGAGGTTAATCAATGCATCCCCAGGGCTCCACTGACATTTTCTTAGCTGCAGGAGGTGGTTTCCATCTCTCATTTGCTTTCCCCCCTCCATCTCCTTTTTTTTCCTCCAAATCTTTCTCTATAAGCCACATCTTGCTTTCTTCACCCCCTACTATATATTAAAACAGCAAAGTGATGCTAAAAGCCTCCTTTTTCTTGCATATTCCGTCTGTAGAGCGTAATCTCTTTACACTTGTGTGGTCTAGCCTGGACTATTTTCAGCTAAGGTGATGGGTGGGCCTCACTTATCGCAGTATTTACCAAACAGATTGGGATTTCTGCGTGGACCCGAGCAAAGGCCAGCCTGCTGCTCGGAGCTGCAGCGACGACAGAGAGAGCGAGAGAGGAGGAGAGGAAGGATGGCCAAGACCCAAAACGCCTAACCTGTCACAGACCTGCCCCCTCCGGGCAAGCACGTGTGTCTGACTGAGATACAGGGAGGGAGGGAGAAAGATAATCAGCGCTACCGCATACAAACACATACCCCAACACAAACACGCACACATATGCAGCCTGAAGTGCTCCAAAAGCCTGGTGAGTCACCCTACTTAAAGCAGCCCTGAAATAGACATTTTGCGCCTCGCCACACTGACTCAGTAACAGAACTATCTTCCCTTCATGGCCTGCACATGCTCGCGCTCGTAAATGGATGCTTTTTGATCCACTGCTTTCCACAAGCATGCATTACAATTTTCCAAGACCAATTTCAGAGGTGTCCTCTGCGTTCTGCCTGGATGAAAGGTAATAGGAGCTTGTTTGACTTCTTTTTTTTTTATAGTGAAGTGTCCCATTACCTGCCGTGGAGCAGGTTAGCTTAAGTCGTTTATCATACCTGTAATAAAAAAAGGAAAGCCATGTGGCTCCGGCCTCCTGCTCCGAGCTGACAGGACAAACAAGTGTTTGTCCAATCGGAGACGAGAATGACACAGGCCATTAGTGAAGCCCGGCAGACAAACAGATCAGCCACACAGTGCTAGGGGCTTGTTAGCGCCTCTCCACATGTGTGACGACATTCGAGTTGAGGCTGAAACAACTCGAGTGATCTGGAAGACCCCAGCAACACCTGTCTGCCCTGGCGCTCCGAATGTCCTCACCACGGTTACAGCTGCCACGGCAGCGGAGCGGAGGCTGCCTGGGCAACGGGCGGATACTCTGGCAGGGGTTACAGGGGCTCAGAGCTGCTGGAAGGACTTCTGGAAGATGGGAAGTGTGACTGTTTGGACATTTTGTCATTATTACCCCCCTCCCCAAAGGAATTAGCGAATTCACAGAAAAAAACAGCTTTACAAATCCAGATAGAATCTGGAAATAATAGCAGATCCCAGGTTCAGTTCTGCTGCACCAAATTAGCATTTATAGTCAAAACAAGTTGGTGATAATACCCCTTTAGCATCCATCATCACCATGATGACGGGTGGATATGAATCACAGGAAAAGTTATGGTGGCTCTAATACAAAGATTTTTTAAGCTCATTTTTATGGCTTCGTTTTACAAATATCCCCTGGCTTAGGAAGAGATTTTACAAACATTTATTAAAACAAAAATATCACCGAGATCAAGAGATAAATTAGGATCTTTGTAAATCTTCAGAAAAGAAAGAGCAAGATAAATGAGAATTCAAATATACAGTGAAGATCAGAGAGAAGTCTGTAATTAATAAAGTGATTCTTTAGGTTCCAGGTTAAAAGGAGAAAAGTGTTTGGATGCTTAAAGCAGGATCAGCTTAGAAATAACATTCCTGACTATTAAAATGGTCAGAGCAAAATGAACAACACATTTTTATCAACAGTTCAGCTGGAAGGAACAAATGACAGACTAACTGTTAGCCATCTGCGAAGGAGTATTAGGGCCACGCTAGAGATAAAAAAAAAATAATATATATATATATATATATATATATTAGGGCTGTCAGTTTTAAAGCGTTATTAATGCGTTAACTGCTTTAGACTATAACGCCGACATTTTTTTAACACACGTTAATCGCGCATCAAAAAAAAAGCACCGTGTGCTTTTGTTCTTTATTTTTCCGCAGCGCTCGCTGTACTGTTTGTTTTAC